TAGTTCAAATCTATCACTTTTTACTTGCAATGTTTTTATTTTACATGTTTAAACTTAACTTTATAAAAGATAGTACTTAAGATGTCAATAACAATAAAAATATGTTTTCACTGACATAACAATATATTTTTATTTTTACGTCTAAAAACATTCTTGCTTATATTTCAAACAAAAACAAAAATGTAATTTTAGTTTTAACCTAAATCAATAAAATATTTATATTTTTTAACACAACTACAATTACTATTCTTTTAAGTTAAAACAACATATATTAATTTTAACCGCAAATGACAACGTACATTTATTTTTACCTAAAATAACTTGATGAAAAAAATATCAATGGTCCGCGAAAACTATTCATCGAAATGAACGATTCGGCGCTGCAGCATCGCGCGGGTACGCTACTAGTATATATATATATATATATATATATATATATATATATATATATATATATATATATATATATATATATTATAGCGACATATTTTGGATTTGTAGATAGAGTTTGTCAAGGATGAATATACCTTGTTTAGAAGTGCCAATTGGAAATATAGATACCATACCTCATATCTTATTTGACATGTCAACTCATATGTTCCAAAATGTGTTGATTTTTAATGTCATAAAGTATAGAGTTGAGAAACAACGAGTGAGTTACATACAAGACAATAAGGTAGGGTTTTGTATGATATATTTAATAATGGAATGAAATACAATAAAAAATTATTTGATATAATAAAACAGACCCGTATTTAAGAAATACGATTTAACCAATATTTTAAAAATCGGTTTTTTAGTTGAACCGATATGGTGACCGGTCCCCGGTTTAACCGATCGAACCGGATTGGACCGGGAACCGGGGAGGAAGCAGTTCAACTATCACCGGTTTTACGTCGCTTTCTGAATCGGTCAAAATAAACCGGTTGAACCGGTTAAACCGAATAAAAACACATGAAAAAAAAATCATTTACATAATAAACTTTGGTGATTATTTTTCAAATCTATTTAGTTTTCTCTAAATAAAAATATATGGTAAATGTTATATAGTTTTTTGATGTCTGTTTTTAAAATATATCTGGTTTTTAAAACATTGGTTAAATCGTATTTCTTAAAGAAATGTCTGTTTTATTATTTTTCATGTTTTTTCCTATTTTCCTACATATACATATATATATATATATAAATCATGAATTTGATGTTTATAAGTTCAAATATTAAAAGTACACATAAAAATAAGTTGTAGATGAATCTAAATACATTAAAATAACATATAACCATAAATTTTAATGTTTAACATCAATTCATATACGTCAACAAGAAAATAAAGTATAATACCAAAACAAATATAGTTTTGGATGAATACAACAACATCAAAAAACTATATAACATTTACCATATATTTTTATTTAGAGAAAACTAAATAGATTTGAAAAATAATCACCAAAGTTTATTATGTAAATGATTTTTTTTTCATGTGTTTTTATTCGGTTTAACCGGTTCAACCGGTTTATTTTGACCGATTCAGAAATCGACGTAAAACCGGTGATAGTTGAACTGCTTCCTCCCCGGTTTCCGGTCCAATTCGATTCGACCGACCGGTTCAAACCGGTTTTTAAAACATTGGATTTAACTATACAAGCCCAACGGCTTGAAGTAGATCAATAGACCATTTTTTTTTTCTTTTTTTTATTATCTCGTCTGATTCATTTTCCTTCTTCATTTCACTCTATTCAAGCATTCAACAATAAAAGCCCAAATGGCTTAACTGTGAAGTTATATTTGTATTTTATATAAATATTTTAGTTTGAAGATATATACTTTTCTTCGATTCATCTTGCAAATTTTGATATTTTTTACGTTTATTTTAGTTAATATAATTACATTTTGAAACTATGAAATCTGAAATATTTTATTGTTTTATAAAATGATGATGAATATATAACAAAGACAGTTTGCCTTTTTGTATAAAACGTATCCTTTTATAAAATTTGACCCAAAGTACTTTATTATATATGCATACATGCAAAATCAAATATTAGATTTTGACCCTCTGGACGATGGTTCTTAGGAAAGATTAAAGCCGATTATAATGGAAAGTAGCCAAAATACAATCATATGATATAAGTTTAATATACAAAAATAGAGGTTAAAGACAAAGAGGATAAAAGGATCAGAAATGCCCTCAAGCATGACAATTTTCACAATTAGTAATGAGAAACTTGACAAACATATGACGCGTCAAAATAAATGTGGTCCATTTTTGCAAAACTCTCCCCATTTTCAACTAAACACAATTAAAGTTCCATTAATTTTAAACAAATCCAAATGATTTGGATTCTTGGGAGAATAATGAATGATAATAAGAAAAACAAGTTATTTCAAAAACATGTCACTGTTTACAGCTAAACACATTAAGTTCTTGTTGGTTTTCTAGAATATGGAAAGTCTAATATGAAGACGAGTAAACTTTCTTTTTTTTTTTTTTTTTTACCAAATGGCTTCTAGCCCAGCGGTATTCGTTGTTGCCGTACCGCCTTGAGGTTAAGGATTTAAGTTCCATTATGGACATAGGTGGAATAACTTATGAGTAGTTTAGTATATATTTGTATTTGCCATTCCAAAAAAAAAATAAACTTTTTTTATCGAATGATACACTTTTATTAAAAAAAAGAAAAACAAATGAGAGTAAACAAAGGGACACTACAAGAATAAACACATATGGCGACGACGTCTAAGCCGACGACACTTGTTGTTGAGGACAAAGGACGCTATGCCGACGACTTGTTGTCGGTATAGGGTGTGTAAATTATCATTTGTATTTAATTATATTAAGTGGTGAAGAAAATAGAAACCGCGTCGTTTTTCGGAAGCAATCCCGACGACATGTCGTCGGCATAGATAAATTTTTTATTTTAATTTATTTGCCAAATAATCAAAACGACATAATATTCATTAAAAATCCCTAAAACCCACATGACCCCTTTGAACGCGATATGTTGGAGTTTTATTTGCATTTATCTTATAACAGAAAAGTGATCGTAAAAGTCTAATATATTCATTGATGATCGTAAAAGTCTGTATTTATTAATGGACTATTACGTCTTCAATTATTTATTTCAAAACTGGCATGTGTTTATTAAAAATAAAAGTTTAACGTAAAGTTCTAAGGATTATGTATTTTTTAAAATAATAGTTTATATAAATACAAAGGTTATAATGAATAAAATAATAAGTAATATAATATACTCTACGAGATTTGAAACATGAAGGAAAAAACCGGTTGTAGAGCATTTATTCTAAAATTTAATAGAACGATATAACTTACATATATAAATTCTAACTAAAATGTGGAAGTTAAATTTGAGAAAAATGAAAAATACAAGTTAATGACAAGTGGAAAAAAATATAATTCAAAAACTCCAAGAAAATGACATGTGTCAAATTCAATGAAAACATGAAATTTAATAAAAATAATTTCATTTATTAGGTTAGATATTGTGACATAATCGGTTTTGACAATAGTTTTCCGTTTATCTAACTTATATTTGGCATGCTAGCTTAAAAACAAAAGTTTATCAATAAGTTATCTAAATCTACCTTATAGAAAAGTTACTCTTATGATATCACAAAAAAATGAAAAATAAATAAATAAATAAATTTTACAATAAGCTCAAAAATAAGTTAGTTTATCAAAACCGCCATTCAAATTTCAACCGAAAGTTGATTATTTGTATGTTAGAAATAATTACAAAGTGGGGATTTGACCTGTATTGATTAAGTGGTTTCTCAAATTTGTTAGATGTCTTTTTCCATTTGTTGTTATTAAGGTCATCTCCAATGAGAGTTTAGTGGGGTTTAATGAGGAGTTTAATCTCATTAAACTTAAAATCCCGATTGTGGAAAATGACTAGGATTGAATAGAATAGGGAGTTCAATCCCCATTGAACTCTATACTCTCTCTCCTCACACACACACATATATATATATATATATATATATATATATATATTAAAAATATTTTTTATTTTAAATTTTTATTTAATGTTAATTTTAATTGTAGTTTTTATTTTTTATTTTCATGTTAATTAATTTTAAAAAAAATAACAATAAATAAAAAGAAAATGATAAATGATGTGACAATCCATTAAATTGTATAAAGTTTAATGGAGTGTAGAGTTTAATGGGTAAAGTTGTATAGTGAGTGGAATGTATATGTGTCAATCCATTGAACTCATATGAGTTCAATCCATTGAACTCATATGAGTTCAATCCATTGAACTCATATGAGTTCAATCCATTGGAGATGGTATGAAGCTCTTATCAGCTCTATGGTTATTTATATTTTTTTTACCAATAAACCATCTGAAATGTCCACCACGATCATTAATTTTTTTTTATTTTTTAATTTTTTTTAATTTCTAGTTCCAATGCCATAAAAAATTACTTGACATAGTGTTGACAAGTTACGATCTGTTGATAAATTAAGTTTAATTATATTGTTTGAACACAAACACAAACACTGGTCCAATATCATCATCCACATCAACAATTAAACATGTGTATGAATTGCGTCCAACTTAACATAATTGTCTATGTGAACGTTGTTAACCGGTTTAACAAGTTATATTAATATAAACGGATTGGAAACTAAAGTTTAAGGATTATATGGATAAACAGAAGCTTGATGATAAAAGTAGACATATCACATAGTTTAATAGTAAAATTAAGTCTTTCTTATAAAATTACTATAATTCTAATTAGTAGGGAAATACAACGAATAAACCAAAGGAATATTGAAAGTAATAAGATGGAGAGACTTGATCAATAAGCGGCCGATACTCAAAGTCAGGTCGCAGTTTTTGTATTACTATGAAGTATGAACAACTGCTGAGCCTATATATATTTTTGTTAGTCACCCTTAATACCAAATTAAATTCAATACTTTACATATCTCTCTGAAATAAACAGAGTGGGATCGAGATCAACAATTAACCAAGATGATGAAGATGTATTGGGTGGTTACATGGTTCATGAAGCTCTGTATGTTGTGCATGCTTCTGATGACCTTGGATACAACCGAAGCTCAAAAACAGCTGAAAGTGGGGTTCTACCAAACCACGTGTCCAGCGGCTGAGCAGATAGTGCGAGACACGGTGAATAAGTCAGTCACCACCAACCCTGGAATGGCTGCAGGAATCCTTCGTCTCTACTTCCATGACTGCTTTGTCAGGGTACGTACGTAGTTCATCAGCTTCATGTCTTATAACTTCTATCTTTACATCATTTCTAACTTTTTTTATGATACACTCATAGGACTCGAGATAATAGATCAGGCTAAAGCACAGATAGAAGCTGCATGCCCTAACACTGTCTCATGTGCTGACATCTTGGCTTTCGCTGCTCGAGATAGCACCACCATTGTTGGTGGTTTCTCTTATGCTATTCCATCAGGAAGACGGGATGGAACAATTTCGAACATAGATGAAGTAGACCTTCCGTCACCTGACTCCGACCTAAACACCCTCCAGAACACGTTTGTGGCTAAAGGTTTGAGTGTTGGAGACATGGTAGCACTGTCTGGAGCTCACTCTATAGGAAGAGCAGGGTGTAATTCTGTTACATCCCGCTTACACTTCTTTAATGGAGACCAGACTGATCCCTCGTTGGATCCAACATATGCAGCAGCCTTGAAAGAGAAATGCCCAAAGAGTGGAAAATCGGGGACTACGAATCTTGATCCAGTGAGCGCGAATCGCCTGGATAATCAATATTACCTTAACGTGAAGCAGCACAAGGTTTTATTCTCCTCGGATCAAACTCTTCTTGATAGTGAATTGACAGCCACATTGGTAACTAAATACTCGAGTAATTTGACTGCTTGGAGAAACGACTTTGCTGCAGCAATGATACGTTTAGGTTCTCTTGACGTATTGACAGGGAACAATGGTGAAATACGTAACAAGTGTGGGGTTAGAAACTAAATTTTCTTAAATGTATATGCTTTGGAATTCATTATTGTTTTGGCTTTATTTATTTAGAGTTAATTTGAGTTTGATGCAAAATATGTAATGTATTCTTTTTCATTAAGACTGAATAAGTAAATGAAAATCGTTTGGGGTTTGAGTTCAATTCTCGTGCTTGGATATTGCTTATGTCGTTATATATGTGAAACACATGTATTAAATATTTCACACAACCATACACTACTACAAAACAATTTTTGAGACACCAAAATCAGGGACGAAAAACATCCATTCGCTTAACGACACATCTGTTGCTGATTAGCAAGATATCTTTTATTTTTTATTGAAACAAGTGTGGAATTTGAAGTACGTCTATGACTATTTAGAGCATCCACAATATGGTTAGCTCAATGAGAGAGATGAATGATATGAGATGTGACTTTGGCATTCAATGGATTTGGAGTTTAATGACTATTGAACTTTTCAATGGAAAAATGGAAAAATTTTAATTCTTAAATATATACTATAAGTTACTTTTTCTAATATTCTATTGAACTGTGTAAAGTTCAATACATTGTAGGAAAAAAATACTTGTATGAATCGTAGAAAGATGATGTGACAATCCATTAAACTTTATAGAATTCAATGCATTGTGGATGCGTTTAAGACAAATTAGTGACCAAATAAGAGTCGTCATAAAAATTATCCTAGTGTACCAGGTACACTCTGGAGTCGAAGTGCCATATGCCTTTATTGGCGTAACCCAAACACTTTCAAATGCATAATATATGTGGTCCGTACATCGGCTCAATGTTGCAAATTTCGTTAGGCGTTCCCAAGGGTACCAACTAGCGCCTAACGAGTATTCGGTCTAGACGGGGAGTACTCGGATTGGATAAATTATATGAAATTAATTTTAGGAAAATAATATTTATAACAAATATAACAAGTTTATTAAAAATTATAACAAAATAGATGAATATCAATAGAAATTATAGATTTTTTTCTAAAAAAAAAGTTAAAATTTCCGATTTTTTCCAATTTTTATTGATTTTGACCGATCCGAATTTTTCCGATTTTGACCGACTTTTACCGATTTTGACCGATTCCGAGTTATTTTTGGCCGATTCCTAATTAGACGCCCTGTCCCCTACCCGATCCTGATTAATCGGCCGCCTAGACCGATTTTTACAACACTGCATGGGCTACGACTACACCATCAGGTAAAACTCTAACAATTCTTTTTAGAGTTTCATGCAAATATTTCCAAAAATACCTAATTCCTTTTGTATGCTCGGAAGAGTAAAACTGTATAATTCATGTTTACAATGACAATTTAATCTTTATTTGGTGCCAATTCATTGTTTGTTAGTAATTTTAATCCTTGAAACAATTACAAATACCAAGAATCGAATAACAATACCATAATTTACCTAATTTAAAATAAACCAAGTAAAAAATTGATAAATTGGAATGAAACATACATAAATTACTAAACCATAAAATGTTCTCAACACCCAACTACACAATAGGCGAAAATAAACTAGAAACTGAAATTTAGGGTTTTTATCCGCTCATGGCTAAACACGATCCAACAAAGTAATGATTTGTAATGTTTAATGCGTTAAATCAACTTACAAATGATAAATAAATGTTTCCAAATGCTTTCTCAATGCTCGAAGTGCTCCCATATCTCCCACGGTTCGTCGAAAATCAATAGATACTAAAAATGACCCAAATAATGGTTAAATTACACTAAAACCTCCCAAAACCATATTTCTGAAATCCACTCGACCAAGTAGATTTTTGTCTTAGGGATTCACCCAATCGAGTCGATCCTTAAACATGCATACTGAGATTTCAACCCACTTGACCGAGTGGAATATGTAACAACCCTAAAAAATTGAATAAAGTGTTATGATATGTATTTGTGTAACTATGTAAAAGGGTGAAAGCAACTGAAGTAATGGTGGAGTATTTGAAATGAATTATGTATACCCTTGTATTTATCATATCATAACTTAAGATATAAAACTTTTCAACAGAAACTTTCGAAAGGAAAGATATAGTTGAATTCGACACGGTTTCATGGATATAAGATTCGTCAAAATCCTAGTTCATATGATAGAGTTATGGTCATTCAAAGCTAGAGGGTAAAGTACATTGTCCAAATAAGCAAGAAAGGGAAAGACACGGGCCGTGTCTAAGGTCAAACATCTCAAATACATTTTAGTGAAGTATGTTGCTAAACAAATTACTTTTGGAGAGACACATACCGTGTCTTGAGGGACACGGTTGTATCCCAAGGACGACCTCTAAAAATATGGATAAAAGGCTATATGTCGGTCCAAAGCTCTTCATTTCACCCATACACGATTTTGAGAGCTCCAAGGGTGATTAGAAGAGGTTCTATCCAATCTATTAAACCAAATCCAAGAGAAATACAAAAGAAACAAGAATCAAGCTTGTACAAGTGAAATCAATGTATCAGCTTCTTCTTCTTATCAAATTTGTATGAGCTTTCATGGTGGAATTTGGAAGAGATGTTAGAAACTTAATTTTATAACATGAACTTATAGTCTAATGGTGTGGTGAATATTATTTATAATAATGACTTTAAACTTTTTATGTAAAAACCATGGATGATTTTTTGAATATAAAGATGATGATGATGATAAACCCTTGTTGGGTGAGTTGCTAGCACTACAGAAAAAAGGCCATTAATGACATAATACTACGACACATGCTGATTTTATGACACATAAGAACGTATGTCATAAAAATCATGTCTTATTTGTTGAAACCTGAATATTTTACGACATACAAAAATGTATGTCATGTTTTAGTGTTATAGATATAATTGAAAGAAACATGCACAATGCTTTATTAATTTTGTGTGTCATCTTAAAAATCCAATGTCATCTTTTAATTTTGAATAAATTACTGAAATCGTCCTTGTGGTTTGTCAAAATTTTGTGTTTGATCCCTAACTTTTGTTTTACACTCGGACCATCCCTGTGTTATTGTTTTGTTGCGTTTTTGGTCCCTGAAAAACATGAAAAGACCATATTACCCTTCTTTATTTCTTTTAAGTTTTTTAATTGTTTGTTTATTAGTATTATCCAATTTAAAAATTTGTTTACTTTTACATGTGGTCCCACCATCCGCATCCACCGAATCTTTCACCTGATCTCTTTCCTACTCTCTCTCTCTCTCTCTCTCTCTCTCTCTCTCTCCCACACACACACACATGGACTCACTCTCACTCCCACCACCAGACACCATCCACCTGAGAATATGAAATCTGAAAGTCACCACCACGTCCACCTGAGAATATGAAATCAAATACAACATTACCACCACCCACTTCTACCATTGATGACCACCACCAACCACTTCTGCCTTTGATGACCATAACCAACAATCCACCCATATTGAAGATTAAACTTACATATATATATATATATATATATATATATATATATATCTCGATCCGGAGGATCCACATTCCCATCATAGCCATTACAGAGTTTTTGTTCGGTAACTTTTTTTCTGATTTCCAATCAAAATGAGCCCTAGTCTCCACTTTTGTTGAAATGATTCACTTTTAGAGAGAGGGTGGAGTAGAAAGGTGAACCAATTTCAGAAATACACAAAATTTTGGATGGTGGTGGTGGCTCCTATTCACATTTAACATTTTGTAGTTACAGAAGAGGATGTCGTTGGTTTCAAGGGAAGGTGTCGTATGTTTCTAGATGGAGGGCAGTCAGAATCTAGATGGTTTCTGGAGAAATACCCAAATTTAATCTTTGTTGTGGTTGTAAATTGAAGACTTACTCTTGAGTACTTCCATGTCGTCATCAAACATACCTGCTACCGGTGTCGTCATTATGGGCTTCGTCAAATCTGTCAATGAACGACTGAAGTTGTGTTGGAGAGAAAGGCGAGGGCAGTTGTGTTGGAGAGAAAGGTGGAGTAAAGAGGTGGTGGATGATTCGCGGCGACAGTAGTGGTCGGCGACGATGGTTGTGGTGTATAGATGGTGATAGTAGTGCGGGAGAGTGGTGAGGGCTTTAATGGAGGAGAGGAGTCGCTGAGACTAGAAATGGGGATAGAAGTGAGAAAAGTAAATGGAAAGTTTGGGGTGGGGTCTAGGTAGGGAGGGTGGGTTTATTTAATTAGTAAATAAAGTAACAAAATGAAAAGAAAATGAAGAAGAAAATATAAAGGGTATTATAGTCTTTTTATGCCTAAGAGAGACAAAAAACGTAACAAAAACAAACAGTAAGAACGGTCCGAGTGCAAAACAAAAGTTAGAGACAAAACACGAAAGTTTGACAAACCACAGGGACGATTTCAGTAATTTGTTCTACTTATAAATTATATAAATTGTCTTAAAGGAGACTCAACCACTTTGGGTAAGGGGCTACATGTCAACACCAGCATCAGATACCATTTTGTTGTTGTTAGGATAAATTATCGATAAACAAACCACAACACGACAATTAAAGATGCGGTAAATTAAAGAGCACATTGAGTTAACGTGGTTCATTTGATCAAAATAATCGAGCTAGACGTCATTGCGGTCCAAGTAGAGGCGAGTAAAAACAAACCCCTATCTGAAAAAACCGAAAAACCAAACAAATAGCCGATGGTATGATTTTTTTTATTTTGTAAAAAATGAATATTTATGGTGTGGTTCAGTTTTGTATTATATACTACACCAAACCATTTGTAAAATCGCATACCAAAAACCATATTGTATGACATTTTAAATATTTAAATAATATACATTATCTATTTAATATTTATAAAATATATTAATTTGTTTAGTTTTTTTTTTTTCTTTTTTTTTTTTTTTTTTTTTTTTTGTGTCAATTACCCTTGACTAAAAAGAAGCCAAGAAATGAGATTTCATTATCAAGCGTAACTCCTTTAGCTTACATTTGTTTTTATTTGTTTAAATTCACCTCAAAGTAACCCAAATAAATATGACTATAGTCTATTGGTTTCGTGCT